TCGAAGTCTGATGAAATGGGGAGGTTGCCCAGACCTCCTTGAGGTTACCAGGACCTCCAAGCATCGGTTTTGTAGTGAACATATTGGGCTGCGAACTTCACACAGCTGATATGCGAGGTGAGCGTGTCACCACTAGTTCATTCGCTCACGATTTCATTCTACCAACACCTGAATTATGCGGTTACTCGATTTCTCGCAAAATCTATTCCATTCGTGAGATGCGCAAAGATCAGATTCTGAATATAGGTGCTTGAAAAAGCAAGGAAGCGGTCATGTCGAGCAAACTGTAACAACAGGCTTGTCTTTAGGTTACTGTGTCATTAGCCGCTCGTTAGTTTTCTCCAGGAGACTACGCGATTCGGTATGCTATTCTATAAGGACTTTGAATGATCAAATCTTACACTTGGATTTGTCTGAATGACCGTCGGTCTTTGCGGAGAACGCACTACGCCCACCTGGTGAGCCCAAATTAAAACGATACGTATCAGGCCATATCTGGACTGAACCAAGTGAATCCCATCGTAGTGCTCTGGTAAACCATGGAACAATATTTTAACGGATGCCATATACAGCCACGTGACCACATGGAAGAGGAGTTTGCTGCAGGGAGGGGCTCTCGATAGGAGGATTGCTGTATCCACCTACCCCAATTGTACACGGAAGATGCTCTAATTGTCGTTCATAGGTTTTCGGTGGAGACCAATATGTGACCATTTTTCGAAGGGATGTACGGGTCTGTTATGATAGGACCATGCTCTAATCGATTCACCGCCGGAATAACTGCCCGTTGCTATGCTGCTTGTGAATCAAAAATTTGTTTTGCCATCTCCGCTAGTCACACTGGCGTCAGATTAGGGAATCACCCAATTATATGTTTATTTCCACAATAAAAACCATTTTTTTTCACCGCCGGAATAACTGCCCGTTGCTATGCTGCTTGTGAATCAAAAATTTATTTTGCCATCTCCGCTAGTCACGCTGGCGTCAGATTAGGGAATCACCCAATTATATGTTTATTTTCACAATAAAAACCATTTTTTCATCGACAGTTTCGACCAAAATCACATTATGTTCACGTACTGAGTATGAGTCACCCAACGAAATTTCTCCCCTTAACATGTGAGAAAATGATGGCGCGAGTGTTTGGCAAGTTACGCAACCGATTGTGTAATATACGATTTTATAATTTTCAAAGAACAATGCGGTTCTCCTTGTTCTAGCACGAAGCAACGGATTCGTTGGTGCAGTGCCGCGCTACTCTGTCCGAAAGTCATCGGGTTACTCTATCCTGCTTCCTAAAGAGTCGGTTCTGTCTGATCAGACACACTCCTTTCAACGTTGCCAAACACCACGTTTGAATTGAACCCATCATGTCCTGCGAAGCTCATTCACCATCTTGATACAACCTAGTTTTGCTCCGTCCAAGCTATGGTATACATTACGCCAAAAATGAATGTCTTTCAAATGTTAAAAGTCCAGGAAAGAGGGATGGGTTTAAATCTGGTACAATGTAGTTAGTCTACAACTTGTTCGCGCCCATTTTGACCGTTTCCTGTCCGCACGTGTTCAAAAATGATGCTTGAGTATTAGCGACATACACTCATTTGCAAACGAATCCAGCTGGATCTGATGTTCCAGGCAGGCTGAATGTGCTGTACCAGGCCGCCTCATGTTTCGTGCAATTTGGTTTCAAGTGAGCACGTAAGGTTGACAGAAACCCGGGGACTGCGCCTACCTGATGAGCCCCGAGAGGGGTAAAACTGGTCATGGGCTGTCGAGGAGTTTTCAGTAACCTTATGAGTAGTGCATTACGAATGCTCTAGTATTCTTGCATTTACTGGAAATTGTCGATTGCTTTTGTTGGCACTTTTGGCCTTTCGTTACTCATATGT